CTGTTATGTATGCAAAACAGAAGGTTAGTTGGAAATAGGACGTGTACTGAGTACGAGAGACAGCACAAGTGAGGAGGCTTGTGGAAGCGGCCGGGTATATGGCAGGGAGGAATTTCATAAGCTGATGGGTGATCAATTATCACAAAGAAGGTGTGAACAGGGGTATATGACCTTGATCATCCAATTGTCCCGCGCTTGTGTCCTGACAGCCCGGACAGCATACGCTGCAGTTCCGTTAATAGGCGCACCGGTCTGTCACGCATGTCACAATTGCGGGGCTGGAAGTCACTCTGGGAGGGATGAGTTAGACTTACAGCTAGGCTGCTCTATATCACTTGTCCTTGAGTATGGACCGGACTGGGAGTTTTAGACATCAGAGAAGTACAATCGTAGACCCAGCAATAGCCTTTTCCTTGGTCTTTGTTCATCAGCACACGTATGTGCGGTAAGGACTTTCAACAGGAACAAGAGAGGATAAGATTTCGATTTCTGACTTTTCTTTACCGTTGCCACCCAGTATCACCCAACCGCAGATATGGGCAACCTGATCTTCGAACCCGGATTGCCTGACCCAATGAGCATTAAAGCCAACGGTCTCAAAGGGAATCGGGGACTCGTGGTTCTTTCAGTCTTGATCGGGAACGTTTACTGCCCTTGAAAGGACTTCCATCAATCAAGTTAGGGGACATGTCCACCAAACGGCGCCTTAGAACTCAAATTAGAGCTCTTGCAGGTGGTGGCAAACCAACCACTGAGGAGACATGAAGGGGTACTGTGGTTAACAAAGGGGACTGGTGTGACCGTTTCTGACTTATCACTAGTCTTTTAATGTTGGACTCGGGCACACATCAAAATCGGCCGAAAATTGTACCTCTTTCCGTTGAATTCAGCTCCTTCTTAGGTCTGTTAGTAAAAGTACGCTTTTCAAGATCTAGGGCTTCAGAAAACTCCTTTGACGTTGCCGTCAGTGTCCAGGCGCTACCTTTCCCTGCAGTCTCCCACCCCCATATTTTCCACGAGCACCCTGTTACCCACTTAGGCCTTCAAGTCAGCACAGATTCTTGCAGAAAACGCTACAACATTCAGGAATCTTTGCAATTTTCTCATCAGATTACTCTCCTGAGAAACCTTTATATCCACTGCAGTTTGACATGCATTCGCTGTCAGTTAGCCACCACTCTCGTGGCCGAAGATATCCACAGCAGGGTGAGAGCAGGAACGATGACTTGCGCGTGACTTAGTTTACAGTGGTGGTAGACTTGCGCTGCATATATGGCGCTAAGCGAAGAAGAAGATTTGAGCACCGGAACGCTTTGTTTATTGTCCTGAGCTTTCAGACTCGTACAGGAGTCCATCGTCAGAGGTAGCAGCAGCAGCAGCAGCAGCAGCAGCAGCAGCAGCAGCAGCAGAACAAACGACAGTTATACGGCACGTAGGCCAATCATCGACCGACGGCGCAAGACTGGAGGTGACTAAGCACGGCTCTGTATGCCGGCGCAAGATCGATAAATCGATTGACCGAGTTCTCATCCAAGGCCCAGGCTTCAATCAATTCTCGATCTGTTTTGTTTCCGGCGTGAGCGACTATTTTGGTGGCTGCGAAGTTAAACTGGTGACCAATTTCGTAGTTGTGGACGGCCACTTGTGATAAGGCGTTGCCTCGCATCACAGCCAGCTTCTGTTCGTCTATGCGCGATCCGAGCATGCGTCCTGTCTGTCCTGTGTAGTTATAAGGACAGTTTTGACACGGAATTTGATACACTACTCCAGATTGCTCTTCAGGATTTAACCGGTCTTTGGTTTTGATATACGGCACTCTCTCCTCCTCCCCACCTGGATCCGGTGTCAAGACAGGGTCAAGAAGGTCGGAGTCAGGAGAGGGCGTAGATGGTTAGAACTGTGAAAACCCGCGCCCAGGCGTACCACCAGACCCTTCTGGTCCACTAACGTACACAAGAAGGGAAGAAATGGGGACTGACTGGGGTCCCATTTCGCCCAGCATGAACCTGCTACTGTGTCTGTCATCACGTTGACATTTGTTATGGATGCGGATTTCCGGTAACGCATGACAGACTCCGATTGGTCCGGCGCACCCACCTCGTGGCCCGTTTTAGGCACTGCACTATAAAACCCCACGAAAATGATAGGGTTGTTCGAATGGACTGAGGTTGTTGTATAACCTTTGCGTACATCTACCCATTTTCTACTCTATCCGTCTATACAGTACGGGACCAATCTCAAGAAATCCGATAATGGAAACTGATGTGAGAGTTTCTGGGCATCTTTAACGTTGCGCATTTTGTTCGCTCATCCACATCCTTCAATGAAATGTCCTTTTCTTGTCCAGAAATTGTGTTTATGTGATTACATCACGTAAAATATCAGTAAATTTTAGCGCAACTGGACGTTGGAATATATTTGTGCAATTTCCTAGGCATATCACCTTATAAAAACTTGTTTCTGCGAGGTCTCCATCAATGAAATTAAGAAAAATCCAGCTTCTCTTGCTGATTCCCTTCTCATTTACTTCAAACGAGTCAAGAATACCACGAATCCCTGAAAAAGCTGTCTTGGAATCTACACTCCGAATGTAGGCAGTTGACAAACCACCATGTATGAAATTGCACTAGTACTTAAACGATATTTAGGTGTAAACTTCACAGAAACATTATTATTAAACGTTATTTCATTTGTGCTTACATATTTACTACGATTACGACATGACAATACATCCTGTACATCTAAAACGAAGTTTATTAATTTAGAGCCATTTCTGACGTTTTCGGGATATTGCGTTTTTCTAAAAAAAATCGGCATTTCTAAACAAAGTAACACTGCCATTCATGTTTCTTTTACGTTTTTAATTATTTTAAACTTGTGCTTAATTAACATGAAATGGTGTCGGTTTGCAAGTGATTGGCAGTCATTCGTAAATTTTGACACATTTCATGAGTTAGGTAACGCACTTATGGTTGCGATGACCCATCTAACTATCTTTTTTAGTTATTTCTCCGTTTGGACTTATCCAAGGTGAGCTGCACCACTCCGTCTGTGCCATCCCCAACATCCTCGGTCGTGTGAAATGTCGGCTTGCCAGTGGCTTTTGAAATGGCGTACTACGAGTGAAGAATATTCCTATTGGCTAGCGAGACGGCCACGTGGTTTATTCGGATTGGCCTCTACTCAGGCGCAAATACAAATCCTCTCTGACAAAAAAGGTACAAGGCCTCGAATTCACAAAAGTATGAGGAAAGCAAGCGAAGATTGATGCGAATTTCTATTGTGCTATCTGAGCATCATACAGTTCGCCACACAACGATGATGAACTTTTAGGGTTGTTTCATTTGTTCTGCGAATAAATGGTCCTGCAGGGTTATCGAAATCGTTGATATCTTATTTACACTTTAGGTATACTCGGAATTATTTAAAAACAGAAATGGCCTACAAGACTCTGAGCGACAGAGAATGACAGGTGGCGAGGCACTGATGAACTTCGGTTTCAAAAAACAATTTGGCGAGCATACGTAAGCATTCGATAAATTCTCATCAGGCCTCTACATTTATATTACTATCGAAGTGATTAAAAAGAAAATGTGGTTTGATAAAGTGCTTATGACCCATCTGGTAGACCCCAGTTGTGGACCGACTGCGCCAGGTGCGTCTGTGCGCATGTTTGTGTTTCTGGTCACAGCTGCTGGTGGTCAGGGTTATGACTGGCTGAATGAAGGCAAAATAAGCCGGTGACAGTACTATCTCAATTTACCCGCATTCTCTGTCGTCCATGCTCGCTGCTAAGCATATATATAGGCAGATTGTTATTACCGACAAAGACAAGGAAAACTGGAATGACCACTTCTGGCTTATTAGCCGTCGTCAGCCAATCATACCTAGCCCCGAAATGTGGGACATCTGAGGCTCGAACTCGCGACCTGTTAGTTAGCAGTCCAAAGCCTCTGACCACTGAGCCACGGGCCAGTTGTCCTGTCGGTTTCGATCGGGAATATACGATGGTGTAGGGACGCTCACTGATCGTTCCACTTCATTTTTGGGTATGACTGGCTGACGACGGCTAATGAGTCAGAAATGGCCACTCCAGTCTCCTTTGTCCTTGTCGGTAATGACACTCTGTCTATGCGACTGCTGGTTGGGCTCGAGAGAGGGAGAGCCCGTAAGCACAACAGAGCGAGTGAATCCCGTAAGAATGATCAGTGATCGTCCCTCTATCATTATATATCTATGTGAGAAGAAGAGAAGATATTGGGAACCATAGTTGTATTGCCCTGACGTTTCAAAAGCAAACAAGCTTTCATCGTCGAAGGTGAGTGTTGTACCACGACCGGCAAGCGACTCCAGACCTGTGTTGGAGTACACACGAGGGCCATAAGGAGGATGGACCTGTTGTCCCTGGTAGCAGGACACTGTGCAAACTCTGGACACACGTTCGTCTTCCAGAATGCAGAAGTCCTGGGCCGAGGAAATGGTCGCGTGACTGGGGAAACAATCGAGGTCTGGCACATTGGCAGGAACTCCATCAACCGCTGCGTAGCGCTTCCCGAAGCCCACCAGACCCTCCGGACTCAGCTCAGAGAACAGAGGTTACGAAAAGACAGAAGCCCGAATACGGCCGGGTTCATGCGGGACAAACTCAGCTGCACTTCAACATGGATCTGGCGAAAGTGTGATCGTCACCACAGCCGGGGCACCCACTTATTGAGCAGGTGAGAAAACGGACGGTTGCAGTAACATAAACGGAACTGACGAAGATGCCGACGTCACTGCCAGTTATCAGGCAGGTTAGAACACAGGCGGTCGCCGGGTCGTAATGGCTACTTCTTAAGGTGGGTTCTATGACATCTCTTCTCAGGCACGCATTGAGAGTTTGTCTATATCGGCGTGTTTAGACGTACTCTGTTGAACAGGAAAACACGGTTGCTGAAGTTCAATATCTCCGACGGGTTTTCAGAGAAAATGGTCACCCGCGCAACTTCATTAAACGGTGCATGCGCAAACGAGACAAGCAGCAAAATCGTACCGACCCCAAATCCTGGCGAGCGATTCCGTACATCAAGAACGTCTCCGAGGCCGCTATTCTCCTTCTCGAACAACTTGGGGTTGGAGATGAAAGCAAAACCGGAGGCCACCATAAGGCGTCAGGTGATGAGACCAAAAAACCCACTGCCACGGCAAGAAACGTCTGGAGATATCTGGTGCAGTTGCGGGCAAAGCAACTACATCAGGGAAACCAGAAGACTGGTCCGGACGCGAATTGCACAACACGCGGCAGCGGTGCGGAGAAATAACGCCAACTCTCAGGTCGCAGCCGATTCAACGAAACCCAGCCACACATTAAATTTCGACGAGGCCGAAATTCTCGCTAGAGTTGACAACGGCGTGAGCCGTGATTTGCTCGAGTCATGGCTCACGTGACCTCAGTCTGTCAACAAGCGTAATTACCTTCCCCTTCCATACTCCGTACTGAGACTTCGCCTGGGCGGAGTAATTAGCCACGCGGGGAGCGCATAGGCGAACACTGGTCCCGACGCCAAGGTCGGTGGGTCAGATGGTCGAGCAATCATCACATCAACACCCAACACCCGTGATGAAATTGCAGGTATTAACGACGCGAATGCTGGCCATCAAACTGTCATCATACCAAGTGCAACAATTTCTGATGGAGGGAAGGGGGGAACCGTGAAGTTTCAAAGGTGTGTGGTAGCATGACAATTGCATCCTGTGAATACTGCAACTTCCTGCGCACGAACCACGCATTTCTGACACTGCCTCTGATGATGGGCTCAAGCGAGAATCCGAAACGTCAGACGTATAAACTCCTTGTTCCAGCGATCGCTTCTTCTTCTTCTTCGTCTTCTTCTTCTCATTAACTAGCTCCTAGAACCCGCGACTTCACTTGTATCGGCAGGTTGTCTTACCTTACCAACCACTTCTCCAAATTACGTCTCCAGTCGTCTTGGCTTCATCTCTACATCGACTTTAGGTGTCTGAGGGAGGGGAGGGTCCAATAGATGCAGCGTAAGTCCACTGTCATAATAAACTGATTCATACGCAATTCATTGTCCCTATGCTCATGTGGGGGCCCTACTGCGGGTGCCGGTCTCAACCCTGGGTCTCTCGCGGGTGTCTGCACGATCTCACCAGGGCTGTCTGGCGCTCGCCCGCTCGGCTCTCCAACTGACCAATCAGATTCGAGGTCGAGTCAGATGTGTCCTGGCTTACGGCGGTTTGACGCATTCCCTAACACACACTGGAGACGCCACTCGCCCGGCGCCGGACGTGCCCTCGTCCGGCTGCCAACTCCTTCACTTATTCCGTACGGAATATACGATCTCCAAAATGGCTCCCCTCTTCTTCTCTTTCCATTCCGCACCGGGCCTGAAGGTAGTGGTAACCAGGGTCTCACTCGCGGCCTAGCCTATCTGCGATACCCGTTTTTCCGTGGGGCATTAAGTGGAAATCGTCGATATCGACGGTCGAAGTTTCGTAAAAAGACATTAAAACAAAACAACCAGTGAGCTGGCTAAGCGAAGTGTTCGGCTCACTTATCGGCTTTAGGCAGATCTGCAACACCTCTGTTCTCGTTTCATCGCTCTACAGGAATCCTAAAAATACCGGTGTTCGGCTAACGTTTTGTGAATTTCAGCAAGTTCTTGGGTGTCCAGTGGCCTATTCTGCGGTCGCTTGCTCCTGCCTAGGTAATAGACCCCAACCTGACTGAAGGACTCCGTCATAGCTGCCTTATCTGTGTCAAACTAACTGACCTATCACCGCAGAAAGCCAATCTGCGAAGTTGTTTGTGAAGCTGTAGAGGCAGCCAATCAACGACTGACACTGAATTGCACAATCGGTTTTCACGGAACAGCAGTTGTTTGTGGTGCGGCAACCGGCACGTAAGCTCTAGTCTTGCAGATACTTGCTAATCCATTTTCTTTAAAAAAACTGAACACTTTTATGTTATTTTACGCAGAAACGCTCTGGAAGGAAAAGGAAAATTAAAGTTTAGGTGATAAATGTGGAATGGATCAATAACCAGATTCTTGAAAAGTGTTTGATTGCCAGGAGTGCTATTGCAAGGGATCTATAGCAATTCGATTTCGGAAAGCACTTTGAGAATGCGCATAATAGGACAATCCTGCGCCTTGGTAGAGGGGCGCTCACCGATCGTTCTTACGGATCTGACTCGTTCCGTTGTGGTTCACGGGCTCTCCCTCTCGAGCCCAACTAGCAGCCGCACGGCGCGCATAATATAAGCAGTATGTTATTACCGACAAAGACAAGGGAGACTGGAACGGCCATTTCTGGCTTATTAGCCATCGTCAGCCAGTCATACCCAACCCCGAAGTGTGGCACACCTGGGGCTCGAATTCGCGACCTGTTAGTTGGAAGTCCAACGCATCTAACCACTAATCCACCGCATTTTATAAAGGCCTCCTGGAATAGTTTTGTGAAGGCTAGACAGTACTGTTGAAATGGCACACGATGCAGTCCGTCCCTATGTATCAGTAACCTGAAAGGTATGGGAAATGAGGTTCCCAGGGCTACTTTACCTAGGATCTCAACTGGCAGTTCGATCATCGCGAACGACGATGTCCACGATGTGCCTCGTAGCATGGCGGGGGTGCAGGATCATGGCTTGCGAGCGAATAAGTTTACAATGGTGACGGACTTGCGTAGCATCTGTCGCACTCTCGCTCTCTGTCCTTCCTCACCCTCCTGGGCCCGACGGCAGAAGGGGTCAGGACAACCGGAGGTGGGATCAGGCGCAAGGACCACAGTTGGCAGAGTTGTTTCTGACTTTGCATGAATTTAGGCATGTAAATATGCTGACTAACCGCAGAAGCAACTGGCATCTAGATCAGTTGGACGCACGCATTAATGACTCCGAAAAACGGCAATAAGGACATCCTGTTGGGGGACAGTCTGTTTGCTCAAAGGGGACTTTTGTAGACCTCATCGGCACACAAACAGCTCCAGTATGCAGCAGCAAGAGTACGCGTACGGAGGGTGCAACCGTATTGCCAATAAAAGCGAACAGACGAGTCCCAGAACGCAGTCCTAAAGGAGACACGCTCGTGTCTCCTTCTTCACGGTTTAACCGTATATTGACAAACAACTAGTTCTCCTGTAAGTTGAAGTCTTACTCTGGAGATTAGCGTATTTTAGAAAGTCGTCGATCTGCTTTGTCTCTTCGCAGTACGTGAGGAGATGGGGCGTTGTGGGCTGCGAACCCGTCGATTTCCGTTCGAAGCTGTCGCATTTCACTCATTCGATTTTAGTGTCATGAAGCAGAAAGTGGTGTCTTAGAAGTTCTGGCAGGTCATTTTGAGTCGGTCCATCCTGTTTCCTTCAAAATATGCGTATTACTAATGCACGGCTGAATTATTAAGTGCGGCTTTGAAATCCTGCGTGAATCCAGGTACTGCCAAGTAGACTGTTGTCAAAAGAACCAATTTTTTGGTGATAGGGGACACTTACCGGTCAAGTTACAGAACTCATTCGTCCACCTGTGCCTTTGGGTTCTCTTTCACTCTCGAGCCCTGCCAACAACCGCACAGTGTACGCGTAATATAGGCAGAATAGCATTACCGACAAAGACATGAGAGAATAGAATGGCCATTTCTGGCTTATTAGCCATCATCAGCTATTCACACCTAACCTCGTGGTATGGAATCCCTGGGGCTCGATCCGCGACCTGTTAGTTAGCAGTCCAGAATTTGCACACATCGGGGTTGGGTATGAAAGGCTGACGACGGGTAACAAGCAGGGAAGGCCGATTCCAGTCTCCCTTTCCTTCTTGGTAATGCTATTCCGCCTGCAAGATTTGTTATTCAGTCAGATATCTGAGGCAAAACGGAACGATTGAGTTCCGTAAGAACGGTCGGTGGGCGTCCCTCCACCATTGTATATTCCAGATCAAAACCGACAGGACAACGAGTCCGTGGCTCAGTGGTTAGAGCGGTTGGACTTCTAACTAACAGGTCGCGAGTTCGAGCCCCAGGCTTTCAACACTTCGAGGTTGGGTATGACTGGTAGACGACAGATAATAAGCCGGAAATGTTCATTCCAGTCTCTTTTTTCCTGTTGGTAATGCTATTCTGCCCTCAAAATGTGTTGTTCGGTCAGACGTCTAAATCACTCTGCAATTTGTATGCCACCTAAAACACTTTTGCAGCTAAAGAGGACTGGGGGAACTGAAGAACAGCCGCAACGCGTGTACTCCCAGGCTCCGGTAATATGGATTAATTGTTAAGCTGACGTGCGTGTCCACCATAGCTGATGTTGTAGGACGATCAATGAAAATACAAGAGGTTAACGGTGCGATCCCGTCTGAGGATAAACGTTTTCTGACATTCCTTATCGTTCATTGTCCATTGTCTTTTTCGCCTAAAATATGCTCTAGTTAGCGAACCAACTACACAGAGTGAAAAACTCGGACTATGCTTTACTTTGGAAGAGCACATTTAACGAGTCAAATAGAAAGTAAGTCTCCTAGGAACGTCTTCTGTTGATGATAAAGTCGAGCGTCGGGGGGAAGAAATTTATTCATCCGAGCAATCGGAGCAGTTTCCGAAGTTTGATCGTCAGTTCCTCAGTAGATTCGTCTGCGTAACTCTGCTATCCAGCACAACACAGTCAAGCCCCGCGCCTGACGGCTGCTGTGAACGTTGACGGAGATAACAACATTCACAGTCAGTTATGACTAGTGACAGACTCGAGAACCAGTCTGGTGGTTCAGAAAAGTAGATCATTTTTCAGTGGACTGACTGCCCAAGCAGGAGTTCTTAAGTAATTCATCTAGAATCCACCAGATGACCACCAGGCTCACTTAGTAAGTAGATGTTTTGGCAGATCTTAAATCATTCATTTTGACCCAACGGCTGACAAAAGATCAGATGGCTCAGCAAATGCGCTTCGCTTGGTAGACGACTAGGAGTGGGGGGCGGGGATCGATATTTTCACTCTGTAAAGGTAGAGGCGACTTGGTGACTTTGAATAATGTTCGCTGGGGTAGTGATGGCGGATAGAGCGTAATCGTAGGACGATCGTGGAGGTGTTGATCACAAACTTTTAGGATAAGTAGTACTTTTGATCTAGCGACAAACACAGATCCCGGTAGAGTGCCAAGCCTCGAGAAATTGTCACGAGCATTTAGTGTGGGCAACACTAGTAACTTCAGTGACGCCCAAACTGGAGCACTTGTCACTTTCGGAGGAGCCCTCACCGGCACAAAATCTGTTCGCCTTCGACAAGGCGAGACGTAAGGTGGAATATTAAAGTTAAAAATTCGATCACTGGTAAATGAAGGGGAGGTTTTTATTACAGCTCCCACTAGGATCCATTGAGGCCGTAAAAAAACACATAGGAAGAAACATGGCCATCCACCAAGTACTGAGTGAGGACCTCAGGAAGGTTCGCGTGAAAGATCGTTAACAGGTATGTAGCGCTCGAGCTAACAGCCAACGTTATTACTGTCTCCCTCACTGAATAGTTAAATCGTCCGCTATCGGGTGCAAATCTTCTCTTTCAACTTGGTCGCTCATATCAACTTTTCTGGTCGACCAATTCGGATTATAAACTCCCAGATTCTTCCTAACATGACGATGTGAGGTCCAGATGACGCATTTTATATATGCAATGTCCTTTCGAGGGCGAAGACTCTGTAAATACAGTAGGCGGGCTAACCCATGAAATGTCAACCAAAATTCCGAAATACGTTTTTCTTTCAAAAAAATTAATGAAGTAAAGTTGTAAAACTAGTCATTCAGCAACAGAATTCTATAATATTTCAGTTATCTCAGGATGTCGACTTTCGAATGAATTTCCTTCCGGCTGCATGTAATAACTAAACTCTGCGAAAATGACTACTTCAATGACATGCAATTTTCTCATTGATTTTCGAGGCCCCTAAAAGTCCAATTATATTTCACTCTTTTGCACACTCTAGGTTTATACCCATTGGAGGGAGATAGTTCGGTTTTAAAAAAGTTTCTACTTGTGGGACTTTTAAATACCGTGAAATTGCCGTTCGCAAATCGTCATGTCTCTGCATTTACCAATGTTGCCCATAAATTTAACGATATGGATCAAATCCACTGCTAAATTTTATGAACCCTATATGGTCCCACTTTGTTATCGTAGAGAAATGTGTGGTTTTCCGTACGCGGAAAATATACGGCTTGTAGTTTGAAAATCCTGAATCCAAGTGCAGCGATAGCGCGGTTTCAAAATTATCCGGGAATTGGAAATTGTTGAAAACCGAGTTCTGCCCTTCCTTCGAGTAAAAAATTGGAAGAAGACGTAATTGTCTACCGAATGAGCGAAAGAATGATTATTTTTCTGCATGTTTTCCATGAAACATAATTGGACTTTTAGATGCATCGAAAATCAATGAGAAAAGTGCATGCTACTAAAGTAATCATTTTTACAGAGTTTAGTTTTTGCATGTAGCCGGAAGGAAGTTCCTTCGAAAGCCGGCATCCTGAGATAACTGAAATATTATAGAATTATGTTGCAGACTGACTAGTTTTACAACCATACTTAATTAATCTTTTTGAAACGAAAACGCATTTCCGAATTTTGGTTGACATTTCATGAGTTAGCTCACCTACTGTAATGACAGGAGTATTGCGTTAATCGAAGTTTCCGATTCCGGGGTGGAATCCACGAGTGTCTATTAGCGCTAGAGCACGCTCAGTTTGAAGGGCCTCGCTTGTAGTTAAATCCCGACAGTCAGTCAATAAGACGATAACACTATCGACAGTGTGTAAAGGAAAGCTGCAATTCACATCTACGGCCACATCAGCTGGCCACAAGATCCACCCGAGGCCTAGCGAGAGCGAAGCTGTTGGTCGGGACCAGCCGGCAGTCGAGCAGCCGGGAAAAAAACGCCTCACTGCTTAAACCACTGCTGCTCGATCGATTGGCTGCTGCTGCTGCTGCTGCTGCCGGGACTGTCCAGTCCTCCAGAGGGTCATTGCGTCACTGCATTCCAGCGGCAGAACTATGTTGACACTGTAGCTTGGACTTTAGCCACTGGCGTTCCTTTCCATTCTGGCTATTGCTTGGATGAACTGAAATCGGCAAGGACTCTTGCTATGTCGCGTATCACAAGCAGCCCGAGGGTCGGCGCACAATAGTGCAGTGCCTGCCTCAACTTGGCTTCCCTCTTCTGCTTAGCACTCAGGCAGACCAGTCTCCCGGTAGGTGGGTCACGTTCACGCATTACGTCGGGGTCACCAATGTAGTTCATCCCCTATCTCAAGTTCCCAGGTTTGTGTCTCTGGCCATGTTCTGTGTCGAGTCTCAACGCTCAGCGGACCGGCCTGGGAATCAAAATAAAATTGGGGAGGGGGGGGTCAAGTTGAGACAAAAATGCCACTTTTACACTCCAACCGCCAAGTTTTTCGTGATATGAAGCAATAGTTTGTTGTCTCTGACTCCAGGTTAGTCAAACACGGACCAGAACGGAAAAGACCGTAAGGGAGTTAAAGGTCAGGACATAGACCCCACAGGTGAACTTGGGCGAATCCGTTTGGATATATAGCCCCGATGGAGGTCCCGCGCTGGCTACGAAGAATCCGGATTTTTAATCACTTTAACTGCCGTCCAAAGTTCTCCGGAGTTAATAATTCACTCTGTTTGTCTTATTTTAGATAAAGAGTCAAGATGCAGTTGATGTGGACTTTGGCAGCTGGCTTCCTCTACTGTGAAGTACTTGCTGTTACCTTTCTACTGCTCCCGTTTGTATCGGTGCAACGGTAAAGTCCCACGTTTTTGAAATGCGGATGCTATTTTTCTATATCAACGTACTCTCAGGCATGTCTTGGATCTTCGGTTCGGATATTTTGCATGCCATAAAAAAATCTTGACTAAATGTCCTGGTGTGTTGATCAGATTTCCGATGAATTCATTTTGATATTTGTAATATATAGCTCGGATGCCTCCTCTAGATCACAAGTGCCATAAAAATCAGACATTCAGGGTGGTTGAGATCTCGACAAACCTGGTCTCAAAGGGAAAAGGCTAACGACAGCGGTCTATATCGGGGATATGAAGGATAGTGTACCTAAACGGCGGTGAAAATGCGATCTCCGTGTCAAATGCCGGAAGAGAGCAAGGCATTGCGCGACATTTCAAATTGAAATAGAGGTTATCTGTTGCACGTTTGTAACGGTGGACAGCAAATATGCTCCCTGTTTCTCCCACCCCCTCCCCTGGGTTACTGCCTGCCCCCCCCTTCTGGTGGTTTCTCGTGGGATGTGATAAGCGTGTTCATTGGCCCCCTCGTCTCCACTCGCGCATCTCTGCGCCGATGGCTCTTCGCGTACGCCGAGGGACGCTCCCGTCCACGACCAGTCTACTCACCCATCCGCGGTCTAATTATGTTCCATGCCGTGACTCACGAATATGCATTTCGGTGTGACCATGTATCATGTGACAATCAGCTGAAGACGCATGCGAGCTTACTCACACATGCAGGCGCCCACTGTCGCGCAAGCCACGCGCTGAAAGAGCGTCGTAAGTTTTACGCGTCCGGTTTATTCTTGCCGAAGCCGGTACCCCGATTAAGACGACAGTCCTTGGCAGACATCACCCGCCCGTTTAGTCTTTTTCACCACCATCCGGGCTCGACTCTAGATTTTGACCACCGCAGTAGAAAACCTAGTCTACAGAACCCATTCTGATGGATAGCTCATTTTGTAGGCTGCCATATGTCGGTAAGTTAAATACACTATGGCTAACCTGTTCATTGGTTCATATTACGATTCACAGTCATACTCACGATCATCATCATTAGAAGCAGCTACTGATAAGGGGTTTACAGCATTTACAGAATGCAGTTTCCGTGCCAGTTCCTAGCTATGAAAGTTAGCGGGTCCCACATCCGTCACAGATGCTCGTGCCTGACACACTGGCTGCTTGGTCGTCCGCGGCCGAGTCGGGAGTTGGCGTGGTTCAGTCACCAACGCTGATTATCAGCGTCTTACTAGCTGGACAATATTGTTCACGAATACTGTCATTGTCAGCTCGCTCGCTCGCTGCCTCCATCCCTCCCCATTAAACTGATAACTCCGTTCCGACTCTGTCCGTTCAGCTTTGGAATTATTCGGGTATTGAGAGGGACTTTTAACATCGAAAGATACGTTTTGATCAAGTCTAAAATTTGAAGACATGACTAACGACTAAGTGTGCACAGGAAAGGGAATTTTGTACGTGATCTATATATATAAAAATGGAAGGATTTTTTTTCTGTGTTATATCTAATCTCCGAAAGTACTGCACCGATTGCGCTGAAATTTGGACACAACCCGACCCGCGCATAGGGCCGGGTTTTTGGCTGTTCAGTTGTGTAATTATGACGATGGTATGCCTGTGATGAGTAAAAAACTGGAAATTTTCCGGCATAACAACGCCACCAGCTGCGGCCACTTGACCTACATCCGCACGGACGCATGTGCGCCCAGACTGCGGCCACTTGACCGACATTCGCTCAAACGCACGTGCTCCGCCCGACATCTGCACTCACCCACCCTGCGGACACTTGAGCATGCCTTCCCCCCCCCCCCACCCCACCTGGGCCGGTAGGCAAATCACCCACCCTGCAGCAAAAAACACGCAACACTTGGACGCCACTTAAAATTGTCTCACAGTCCACATAATAAGGCCGTCACCGCTGCCTCGGGTATTCTTGGGGGTGAGGACTGGATGCAATTAACACCAGACCCTCCCCCCCGCACAACTTACATAAAGGGGCTGTCACCCAATGCCAGCTCAGTGTCGTGCAGCACGGCTTGCGGTCACGGCTACCGCGTTCTGCAGCTTCAGGCCTGCTTCGTTCACAACAGAATGAACACTACCAGCTGAGAGTGGCCGAATGGCGCCTGTGCGGAACAGCAGACCAGCGTCCAACACGCCTTCGTGCTCAGCATTCACGCTGCGTGAATGCTGTTGTAAACGACGGTACGACAACAACCGTTGGAAAACTAATTATTTTAGGGCAAGGTGATAACATATATACCGGCTGTCGGAGACCGATTCCAACGCAGTATCCATTTCCTTTTCGGGATGGTGCCGATAGATATCACCTCAACGTTGAGCTGATAAATCCAACGCACATGAAATGCAGCGCAATGAACCACTACTCCTACCTATTTATGGTTCGACTGAATGTAGGTAATCCCCCTTTTGAAATGCCGTAAATTTTTTCATCACTGCATTGTGGATATAAATGCAAAAATCGAAACTGAACGCCTGTTTTACCTTCGCTTGAATCAGAATAAGCTGCGCTCTGAAGACTATATTCCTTTGCATGATGCAGTTGTAAATGACGGTAACACAGATAAAGTTGTAAGACTAACGCTTTTGTCGTCCACATACACAGACAGTCCACGCCATATGTCCGAGTACGCTCGAGGTGCAATTGCTTACGTTTGTCAGTACGGACGTCCAGACCTACTCATTACATTCACAGGCAATCCAGCTTGGGGGATATTTATCAGCTCTTACCTCCAGGGTTATCGGCAGTAAATAGGTATAACATCACAGAACGTGTTTTTGGGAAGAAACTGCAATCGCTGATGAACTTCATGGTGAAACACGAGGTGGTTGGGTCTGTGCGCTGCTGGAGGTATTAGGTGGAAAGGCAAAAGCGGGGACTGCTCCATGCACATGTCCTGATCTGGCTCTATAACAAGATCGCTTCCAACTAAATCGACGACGCAATATGCGCCGAATTACCTGATATCGACGTTGACAATGATTTGCATGAAGTTGTGACGAAGAATATGATACATGGACCTTGGATGCACTGAATCTCAATTCTCTAACCCCCCCCCTCTCCCGGCATGAAAGACGGAAGTCCCTTATACCAAAAATGATCAGCGGAAGACATCGGAAAATTGGCAACCGTACGAATGCGAATCGGTGACATAGAAGTCGGTAACCGCTGGGTTGTTTCGTATTCGCCTTTGCTTTTAAAAGTAAAACGCAGCTCACATAAACGTGGAACACTGCAATTTTGAGAAATGAATTAGGTACATTTGTGAGTACGTGAATAAAGGCAACGGCATGGCCGTTTTCGGCCTGCAACACGAAAGGAAATAAAGGGATGCGGACACACAACACAATGAAATCGCACAGTATTGGGCTGGAAGATGCGTCAACGGCAAGAAATCCATGTGGCGAATTCTTTCATTCCCTATCCATGTGCGAAGTCCAGGTGCTGTTCACTTGCGGTACAGTTAGAGAATGGGCAATGCGTTTACTTTACCGATGCAAATGCGCGAAAGGTTGCCTTAGGTCCACTGGCAACAACATTAACTGCGTTCTCCACGTTAAGCCAAAGTGACGCGTTTGCGAAAACACTGCCGCATTCGGAAGTGCCTTCGTATTACACAGGGAATGTGTGTATAAAATCATCCGAACAACGCAAACGAGGAGAGCGACTGGACGGACACGCCGGCATACTCAAAGGAACTGCGATAGGCAGACTGCATACCGCGCATTCCAATCTTACTTCGCATGGTGTTGATGAATGTGCCACGTCCAACGTCTTTCCAGCAACTGAAATCTGTCAACGGCGCTACGCATGCCACTTTCAGCAGTGCGTGTCAGGCTCTTCAGTTACTGGAGAACGATCAACAGTGAGACGTATGTATTAATGACGCCTGCAACACGTCCCATCCACATCAAATTCATGCATTGTTTGCAGTCATATTGATCGTATTCTCACCTTCATCTCCAACAGATTTACCGGAGAAATAGAATTTGCAGATGGCTTGCAATCAAAACATTCACAAGCTAAGACTAAGGCAGAATGACATTTACGACCAAATACTGCGGATTGTCAATAACGGGGTTGGAGGAAACTTCTTCCTATATGCGCCAGGAGGGACTGGCAAAACGTTCCTACGACGACCGATTCTGACGGCCGTTCGATCCAATAAATGACATAGCCCTTGCACTTGCATCCCCGTAATAGCTGCAACTCTGTTACCTGGCAGAAAACCCGTTCATTCAGCTTCGAAATTGCCTTCGAAGTCGCAATTCATTGAAACCCCTGCGTGTAACAATTCCAAAGCATCCGGCATGGGAAAAGTACTGCAGAAATGCAAACCTATTGTTTGGGATGAATGCACAATGGCGCAAAAAAGCGCTCGAGGCCCCTGATCGAACACTGCAGGATTTGCGAGGAAACAGCAGACCATTTCTGATGCACTGCTACTGCCCGCAGGAGACTTCAGGCCACCACTGCCTCGATCGAAACCGGGGGACGAAATAAATGCCAGCCGTCACCACTTACTGCGGAAATCTCGAGCGCGGCTGAGTGCAGCAAACAATTGCCCTGTCTTCGACAGCGGCTAGAAGGACAATCTTGGGTTTCGCACACAATACGTACCGCCAACCGGCGGCCCTTACATTTTTCTTAATTGGGAACGTGCTCCTTCCTCCTTCCCGTATTTCCCAATTCATCAGTTTGAGCCACAGCAACGCGTGGCGGGGTCCGGCTAGTTTTTTCATAAAATGGTCAGCTCGCGTTTCGTAGCCTTACCTGCAGTTGACAAACCCCAGCCTAACCCCAACCTCTAACCCTTGCCCCTAACCCCTAGCCACAACCCTCACCCCTAACCCCAACCTCTAACCCCTAACCTCAATACCTAACCCTAACAACTAATCCTTACCCCTTACAGGTACGGCTACGAAGTAAGATCTCACCCATAAAATGAAGTTGCATTACAGGAGCATTATTAAAAAGTGTACATCACCTATTAAGCATGCGAAATGTCGTATGAGACACTACAACAGTAGCAATTACTTTCAATTTTGAAATGAGGGTAGGAAAATCGCCCAGTATTTTCCGAACGATCTAGTATTCATTAGCTAATGTCGCCCATAAATATGCATGGTGTAGTAAATCTAGGTTTCCTAAACCTAAAACAACAGCAAACATTTCAGGTATTAAACGAACATTGCAATCTGAGTCGAGCATTCAGTAATCTATACCAGTATATGCTTTCGGATGGCGTTTTAAATTAAGAATTAAGAGTCGAACGTGGGAATAAGGACTTCCCACATGTATAGATGGCACTGAGATGAATTCCAGGGGGTATCGATTCTCGTGTCTTAACTGAACCCTAGCCCTAACCACAATTATAACCATCGGGGAAATTAGCGCAAAGCCACCTGCAATATTGGGAGGGAGAAGTACCTATTCATGTGCCCTTTTAGAACTAGTAATTATTATATATCAGGGCTAGATGTATTTTCTTCAATTCGTAAATGCGTTTTTATTTTCAGCTGGAACGCCATTTTCAATTCGCGCGTTTCTACAATTATATACTCCAATGGATCATTCTACTTTAATGCCCGCTTGGTCCTACTCATTGCACTGCTTATTGGTAAGCAATTTTCATAAAATGTTATGACGCTTATGAGTTACGTTGCGGAAAAAACAGCCAAGTAGGTGATAAACCGCAACAATCAGGTGAAAGGCGACGAATAGTGCCTTATGGGGAAGTAGAAAAAACAATATCACCTACTTAATGCAGATAAGTAGCAAATGGTCTATTCATCAACTCTGTAATATAAGTCGCCTATTTTGAGAAAACGCAGTCGCTAGCGGTGCCCATATGACCCGAAGATGTTTGCTACGAGATCGGATGGGTCCAAGAAATTAGGAAATTTCTAGATTTTGGTCAGTAATTCAGGCTGTCGACTTCCGTAAAATCTTTCACAATGTCCGTCCCCTCGATCAGAGGTGTACTTCTGTTTGCTCCTAGTAAGTACCCCATGCACGCGGAAACACTGTTGGCCGATGACGCTGGTTAATCTGACGTGAGGGGTTCAGCAACATATCCACTTACTCGTATCTTCGAGTCCAATTTTTTCAACTTAATTATTCCTACGTTGTTCTCGTGAAATGATCTTGTTTTTTTTCAGAAAGCATTAGGAAAATGTGGCTGAACAGTACGGCACTGTCGGATTTAAAAAGCCACCCAGAGGGCTTCAATACTGAGACAGAAACCATCTTTCTGAACCGTCTGTTCAAATCCCAGCGGAATCTCTACATCTGCGCTCTCGCGCTCTTCCTCTGCTTGTGCGTAAGCCAAAGTAAAATGCATCTTTTTTTCTGTAACTCAGCACTTGCAATCGACAAAGATAGGGGAGAGCTAAATAGCCATTCGTAACTTCTTTTTCCTAATTAGGCGGTCCTATTACGAGCTCAGATGTCGAACCTTTCAGTCTGCTGACCGCCCGATTGACATGCGGGCGCAAATCCCGTCGGACATGAGGGTGCCTACGCAGAATCAGGTGGAGGTGGCATTTGACAATCCAAATTGACTGATGGACGTGAATGGCTCTTTCCATTCTGTCCTTGGAGCTTCAACCAAGGACCCTTGTTTGCAATTAACAAGCTTGTTAGCTTATTAACAGTAATCAGTCTGATACAGGCGAAGATGCGAGTTCCAGGAACTAGTTGATCAGAAGAAGAAAAGGCGATCGCTTAAACAGGGACTTTATGCACCTGACGTTTCGGATTCTCACTTTAATCCATCATCAGAGACAGTGGCGGAAAAGGGTGACTTGTGCACAGGAAGCTGCAGCATTTATAGGATGCAGTTGCTATGCCATCGCACACCTATAGCAATTAACCGCGCTCCCCGTCATCAAGGATTGTTGCCCGCTGGTGCGTTAATGGCTTGATGGCCGGCATGCCAGTTGTTAATTGCCGAAATGGCATCACCCGTGTTGGATGCTGGCGTGATGATTGCTCGGCCATCTGGCTCACCGGCGACAGGACCTAAGCCGGCAATGGGGCAACCAGCACAGCCAATGAAAACGCGGATGATAATTGCACTTCAGCGATCGTCTATCTCTAGGTCACAGGTTGGAGTCAATTTCTAACTCCGAGAAGCGAGAGGGCGGTTATGTCGACGCCACCCACTTCTCTGTAGCATCCAGTGCATGACCTTTATAGATCAATACATTACATTAGCCGATGTTAATATCGCGGTAGTTTAAGCCGAAGGCACCAGGACCTGAAGACCCGGCTCCGAATGCAAAGACAAGACGCTGGACGCTAGTTAAGGGAAGATTGGAGCGCCAGTTTAAATAAGTTGGTGCCTGGACGAGATAACAGGCCCCGCGACTCAGGTAACAATGAGGAATGAGTCAAAGCACCTTGAGTTAGAGTACGCCTGAGTCGGCATTGAAGATGGTTGGCTGATTTAGACAGTCGTGATTGGCCGAGAACCAGACTGTCACTGATGCGCAAGGGCCATCACTCGCGTCGCAACAGGTGTCTGAAGTAGGACCATTAGAAGTATACTAAAGTATTGTATGAAACCGGGACAACAGAAGCTTGCCTTTTTTCGATGGAGAAAACCGCGCACTGATATTACAGAACATTTATTAAGGGAAATATGGTTTCCATGAGGGGAACTTCTTCCTCAGCCTATTTATAGTGCTATATATTATATACTTATTGCATACTATATTATATAATTATATATTGCGATATATTATTATATGTATTATATTATATAAATTATATATTAGGTATTGGGAGCCAGTCATCACAAGAAATATAATTTGAAGATGGCCGGTTCTTTGGAAAATGTAAGAACTTTATTAGTAAATTTTCGAAGCTGGTTCCTCAGCTTGTCGTCAGACTTTTGGGCTATGTACGAAAACAGTTAGCTATTTAAACCATATCGAACAAATGATTCTGTGGTTGGCCGACGTCTGCGCCAATGCGCGTCAGTGATACTTCTTCAACCCCTCGGCAATGGATGCGCTCGCCTTCATTTGTCTTTGAGAAATATGTACGTGGAATCTAGGTTGATAGGCCGATTGATGCATGACTCATCTGAGTGCATTACCTCCAGGAATTCTCGGTCTTTCCTTATTGGGCAGGCGCCAAAAATGCGAGTGATCTCCCAGGCAAACCGGTGTCCGGTGTCCAGTGTGTGCATAGCCACCTGGGACAGACGATCTCGTCTCTTCACCACTAACTGATGCTCATGTATACGGGTTGAGACACATTTCCCGGTCTGGCCACAATAGACGACATAACAACTGGTACATGGGATCTTTTAGACAAAACCTTTTCTATCGAGACAGCCAACCCTATCCTTAGGGTGTACAAGCTGTGTAGGCAAGGTGGTTGTATTTTTGTGTGCTACTTGTATCTGATGTTTTTTCAGCTGTCCTTCGACAAGCTCAGATACATTTTTCACGTATGAGAGAGTTCGCCAGGTGAGTGTTTTTGGTGTCTGGGTGGTCGAACCAAAACGCACTGTTCTGATGAAGAAAGTCACCAGGCAGACATGAAATGCCTCTTTGAATTATTTTCCCACAAGGGGTGCCCGCGCAACTTTGTGCGCCATTGCATGAAGCATGAGTTTAAACACAAAGTTATTTCAAACAACACGGCCAACCACGCAGACTTCGGTCAACCACAGAATCACTTGTTCGATACGGTTTCAAGAGTTAACTGTTTTTGTACATAACCCAGAAGTCTGACGACGAGCTGGGGAAGCAGTTTCGAAAATTTACTAATAAAGTTCTTACTTTTCCCAAAGACCTTGCCATCTTCAAATTATATATTATATATCGTGTTCACCATCTCCCGAAGAATAATAAGAAGAAGAAGAAGAGAGGGCGAATTCATGGACCATATTGCATTTGAACTGACGTTTTGGAGACTTCCTCGTTTCACTCATCAGTGTAGTGTGCTTGTTGCTCCTACTCTGATGACAGAAACGAGAAAGTTTCCGAAACGTCAGTTCAAATACAATATGGCCCATGAATTTGCCCCTCTTCTTCTTCTTTTTCATCGGGAAATGGTGAACGCGAAACAATGCCTGGACCTCAAACCTTTACGCATATTATGTATATTATATTATCATAAATGATTATATCTTTCAATATTGTATTAATCTAAATTTTAAATGACGGCGTTCGTCCCCGATTTCGTAGTCAGTAGATACGAATATCACCGAGAAGTGAGTTTAAAGAGTAAATTACGGTCGTGCTTTCCTAAAGTTAGACGTCTCTGCTCGTCATTCCCGCCAAAAACACTTTTAACTACCCTGGAGTGTCAACAGAAGCGAAGAGGTGGGTCCCAGGAAACAGTTGTAAGGAAGGAGATACGATCGCTGGGACAAGAACTTTGTTTGCCCGACGTTTCGGATTCCTGCTCGAATCCATCATCCGAAAAAATAGCAGATACGGGTGCTATTACCTGCCATTGTTCCTGATGATGGGTTCGAGCAGGAATCTGAAAGGCCAGGCGAATAAAGCTCTTGTCCCAGCGATCGTATCGCCTTTTTTACCCTGGAGCGTGTCAGAAAGATAGGCTAAAATCCCCTGTGGCCACCCATTCTTCCCATTTATGTCCAGGAATACGTACTTTCACTTCTATCAACCGGCTAAGCTTTCACAATCAGCACTAACTCGGTCGGATCTTATTTCATACACGTACCTGCAGTAGGCAACCCCTAACTCCAACCTCAAACCTCTGATCTCTAACACCCAACAGGTACGGCTATGAAGTAAGATCTTGCCATGCAACTCTTATCTGACTGTAGACGCCGCCGCCACTAAAACCACCACTGCCGTCTTTCAGCCATCATTCGCGATCCTCCACACTTCTCAACACAACGCGCGTGACAAGCATAACAAGCCATCGTAATTTCCATCTTGAAAAAGCGGACTCAAGACAACTAACACTTTGATTGACCTTTTAGGAAACGTGCATATTTCATCTGATGAAATTGTGAAAACCTCAGAGAGCTCTACAGGGGTTTAAATCCGCGACAGCGAGTACAAAGCCTGCGTAAAGCCAACACGTACTAATTAAGTGGGTCCGGTGGTCGTCTGGCCGTCTCTAGATTAATTGATTGAGAAATCCTGCTCGCGCGGTCAGCTTACTGCATTCTAATTAGTGGATTCTATACCTTGCAGTGGTTTAAGGCAAGTAACTTGACACAAATGTGACTAGACTCATGGCTCCCGGTCGACGCCCGTGTCTTAGGTGAAATGTATTTCGGTTGTGCACGAGTCCCGCACTCGCTGCCGCCAGTTCGGAACATCGTTCAGGCCGCAGTTTTTCTTAGCAGTTTGGCCAGACAAAATAGCGCATTCGCGATGCAACCGAATTCATCCATGGGACCTAGTTGCGGGCTGACTTACGATTTCGATTTGTCATGGGAGCTGGTAAGGCAACGAGGAACCAGTGGTCGAAAGTTTTCCCTCCAACGACCGGAGCGGCAGTTTCCGGTTTTCCGCCCTCATCAAACGGCCAGACCCCAGCAAGTCTGGAAAGCTGATCCCGAGTTCCGTTGCTATAGGGTGCAAATAGCCAGCAGCTGCACTACCGGTCCATGGTCTTTTGGGTACAGAAAATCTTGCTGCGACGACATCCTTCGCTCAGACAAGGGGTCCAGGACGGCTACCGCAGTCTGCTTTGTTTTTGTTTATTTTGCACTTTTTAACATGTTCTAAGGAGATGGCCTCTACTTTTTGTGGTCATGCATGAACTAGCACACAGTCCAAAGTCTTGCTCTTTTCTTACAGCGTGATACACCGTCTGACGAAGCTCATTGCTGACCAGGCTCGCATGTTAGCTGATCAGCAGACATCCTCGGAGATGCCGAACTTCGGAAGCCCTAAATCCGTCAGTTCCACCTCAGGAAGGAGGAAAGTCGCCAAGGAGCAATCATTGGTAGGTCCAAAACAGCCTGACTTGAAACTTAAATACCTGGAGTAGGTGGGTTAACTCATGAAATATCAACCGAAATTGCTAAATGCGTTTCCGTTTCGTAAAGATTAATTAATTAGATTTGTAAAGCTAATCATCTTGCAGTATAATTCTCTAAAATGACTCCGTTACCTCAGGATGCCGGCTTTCGAATTAACTTCTTTTCAGATGCATACAAAAACTATACGAAAAATCACTACCTAAGTAGCACGGATTTTTCTCTTTGGTTTTCGATGCCCTAAAAAATTCATTTACATTTCGTGGGAAACATTCATAAAAATATTCATTCTTTTGCTCATTTTGAAGAAAATTTTAAATTTAAAATCTCTTAATACCGTAAAAAGGCCGTCCATAAAAGTTCTGTCTCTGCATTTACGAATGTGGCTCAGATTCACTGCTAAATTTTATGAAACCCATACGGCCTCCTCTTAATACCGTAGAGAAATATGTGGTTTTCCCCACGCGGAAAATATACGGCTTGAGGGAGTGGGCGAGGCCCCCTCCCTCCTACCGGCGTATTAGCAGTCGATCTACCGAAGCGGCCTCTGATTGGTTACTTTATGATCTTTTGAGTGGTTGCCATAGTGCGACCACTGCCAATTCTTTCGATGTTGCTTTACTTTACGAAGCCAAAGTATCCGGTGTGCGCTTAGGCTTGCGTGCTTATGCAATTTCCGGCAAATTAGTCGATGGAGACATCAAAAACTGATGAAGTTTTCTTTTAAAACAACGTCTGTTTTGCTGAAAAGACGGTAAACTACCACCTCTTCGCGGAAAATTGTCAAAAAGTCTGCTTCCGCGGAAGGAAGGACCACAGGAGAAAAGTACTTTTGATTTTACTCCTGCAAGTTTTCCTAAAGTGGTCATAATTTAGGCTGGAGGGGGGAGCGTGCAACGGAATTCGAATTGTGGCAGACAAATCCGTTTCTCATTCATAATTACAATGCACCATCTCTTCCTGATTCTAGACCAGATCTGACAACTCAGAGGACGAAATCACCAAATTAACGGAACAGATTGCAGTCGCACAGGAAGGTAAGTTTCATAACTCCACTGCAAAGTTGGATTTATTGCAAAGCGTTTGGAACTTGACGAGGAGTCATTTGACCTACAAAGTTGATACGAGCGGGTAAAGAAATGAGAGAGTGGGATGGCCATTTCTGGCTTTTTAGCCGTCGGTAATCAGCTATGCCCAACCCCAGGTTTACGGGATCTGAGATTTGAAGCCGGACCCTCTGGTTATGGAGCGTTAAGTAGCCCAAAGTTTCGCCCTTAAGTCAGGGACCCGTTGTCTCCTCAGTTGTGATCGTGAATATTAACTGTGGCGAAGGAAGCTCGCCGTTCAGGTTACGGTTAGTAGTTGTCGCTTTTCACCTTTTGGTGCAATCTAGAGCCCTCGCGGACAGTCGCACTGCGACTAGTCTTTGTCGGCGCGCCCCATCACTGCATAAGCATTACTAGTCGTTATGAAACTGCCCCCGAAGACTCTAGACCGGTCTCCAAGGTACACCCGGGCATTCACTTCCTGTAGCCTGATCTACCAACGCCCTTCCACCATAGATAATGTTGCACAAATGCAACATGCCTATTTACTCATGATTAATTTACCTCCCAGTCCTACTTATGTTTGCATGACAGAAAAGAAACTCGCGGCAGCTGAGCTGAAGGAAGCACGGCTACAGACAGCTCAACTTGCCAGGGAATATGCAGAGGTCGCGGAAAAGTTTGAGGCTCTCAAGGTAGGTAGCAGGATCGATTTCATGTGAATTTGTACATTTTATCGCATTTTGTTTTGTAGATGGCACTGCGGTCTCTTTCTGGTGCTTCTGTTGGTCAGTAATAGGTTCATTTCCTAAGTCCCCAACTAACTGTCTTTTATTTTAATTTTATGCGTGAATAAAAAGTGATTTCTCTTCTTCCTACCGACTTCTATACACCGCGGGGATACGGCAGAAGTCCGTGATTTAGACTCTGTGCAAACAAGAGATTTTCGAAATTGCCGGCTGGGACCAGGCATCTATTGGACCAGAAATGTTTCCCTAGAGATTTGATCAAGATTTGACCAGCAGTCTACAACAAGGGCCACTTCTGATTTGGCGTCATCGAATATTCAAATGCTTGAAAACAGTTCAGCAGGAATCACCGAGACTTTTCAATTTTCCGGCGAGAAAGGCATATGCAAGAGGTTGTCAGAAGTGTATTCGCTAGCCGTGACTCCATCTGAGGGGGCTTTTGTTCTACCTGGCAGTCCTCTGAGATCTGAACCTTACCACACGCATTAAACTGCGAGTTGACGCCACGTAAGTTGCTGCGGCCAAGTCCACCTCCGATCTGATTGGCTCTGGCTTTCCGCTGGTGTGTGATAAGGAATAGAGCTGGCTACCAGATCAGCTGGAATCGAGTGTTGATCTTACTCACAATGAGCAATCGAAGGCGCATTTAAACTATCACGACCAGCAGTCAGTCGTGCCATGAAGGCTTTCCAACATACAGTGCAGCTCGATCCGCCCCTGCAACGCAATTCGGGCTGCAAAAACTCCGCTTTAATGTGGGTTTTATGGCTGAAATGGGAAAATGTACACTCTGAGGTCTCATGAGTTTGGGCCATAGACCAGAATGAGCATAGCCTATGCAGCCGTGTGGTACACCTTTGTCTTCCCTGCGCGAAAATATTTTACTAGTTTTGCTGACTTTGTTAGGGCACTGGAACACGAGAAGTTCTGGAAGAGGAGAACTGGGGTATGTGCTGCAAAAAACCTTTTCACAATGGGATAAACTCACGCTGACATGCCTGTTGCGATCTCTCTGGAACAGTATCCATCGCGGCGTTTGGGGCGGGGGAACTGTTGAGTACGTGCAAGAAAAGGGAATGTATAGGGGTTTCCAAGAAAAGCAAAGGGGCGAGCTCCAAAAAGCAGCTCAGAAGACATAGTTGCGACCACTGGAACAAGAGCTTTAATCGTCTGACGTTTCAGATCTTCACTCGAATTCGTCATCGGAGATGACCGCGGATAAGGGTGTTGGACACACAAGGGCGTGGTATTGATAGAATGCGGGTGTCATACAGCGAGTTCGACCGTTGAATTCGACGATGTGCACCGTATGTTCCACGGCAAGATGAAAGCAGGAACGGTGACTTGTCCGAAAATTTAGGTTACAGTAATAGTAGTCTTGCATAGCATCTGTCGCACTCTCTCCTCCCTGGACCCGGTGTCAAGACAGAGTTAAGAAAACCGGATACGGGAGAGAGCGCAGATGGATGGCACGGTCGTGCTCGTACCTTGGCGTTCCAATCCACACACCCTGGTCCACACAACAAATAACCAGGTTCTTAATTATCCACAACAATGGGGGGCAGAGTCCTACTATGCGCGACGTACGCCGACAACCGGGTCCGCCACCGCACCCCGGAATGTTGGCACTTTTTACCGTGCGCAAAGCCGACGACGCCTGCCAGAATCCAGAGCATCTTTCACGTGACTCGCCTGGGGGCAGAGTTGTCATACCACCACATTATTAACATACTTATCAGTTGCCGCACTAAGATATGTAGGTCGGGTTTGATATAACTATTGATTTTTCATATTGATTCAACTGTGAAAAACTCGGCGCCTCGGTGGGATTCGGACCCACGCAGTAAGGGAAAGGCTTCAGCGCAGCCAACGCTCTAACCACCTGAGCTACGAGGCCCCGCCGGACGACGCGAGTTTTATCACACTTGGGTCACGTTACCCGCCCAACCTACTGCAACGTCTGAAATTCACCAAATCTGATACAGTAAGCTGAGTGCCCAAGCAGTTGGGTCAATATGAATTATTCAAAATCTGCCAAAATATCAATGAATTACGCGAGCCTGGTAGTCATCTGGTGGATTCTAGGTGAATAACTTAGGAAATCCTGCTTGGGCAGTCAACTTACTGTAGCAGATTTGGTGGATTCCAGACGTTGCAGTAGGTTGGGCGGGTAACTTGACCCAAATGTGATTAAACGCGCGTCGTCCGGCGGGGCCTCGTAGATCAGGTGGTTAGAGCGTTGGCTGCGCTGAAGCCTTTCCCTTACTGCGTGGGTTCGAATCCCACCGAGGCGCCAAGTTTTTCACAGTTGGGTCAATATGAATTATTCAAAATCTGCCAAAATATTATTGATTTTTCATCCTAATTCGAGTCATTAATCCCGATATTTTGCCATGTTGATTATTGGCATGTTAACCGCATGCAGTTCAGTAGTGCGAAATCAGTAGAGAGGAAGGAATACGTCAAGTGGACAAAACGATATTTCTTTGCATCTGTCATCAAGACCTGTCTGGTGGTATTTCCGACCCGACTACGAGTCTCTACTTGTAGGCGACTACGAAATTCGCTAAAACCTCCCGCAAAACTGAACGAATTTCGACGACGTGGACAAACGTCACCAATGTGGGATGTGCGCATTGAAACGCTTATTGTTGGCTTAGCCACCGTCGTGTAATAATAAGTACTTTTTGACCAAGGTTGCAGAATTGGCTTTCAGTAGGATACCTTCCGGACCACCTGTGCAAATGGCTTTTTAAAAATAAGCTGAAAACTGAGTACGGGATTTTTTCGTTAGCCTTCGCTACCTGCAATACCTCAATAATGTTCTCTGGGAAATATGAACAAGTATTTGTTTACACACTTTCCGTGTTGGAATTATGGTTACCTCTGTGTAAAAAAAGAATTTAACTTTATATTCCTGTGCTTGCGAGGCTTCTGGGCCGTTAACTAATACTCGTGCTGTTAACTATGCCCTAGTTTATCAATGCTTCTCCAAGAGTATAAATTTGGGTCGCATGTGGTTTGATAGCCTCACCTGAATTAAACAAACCTCAGTCACCTCTCATACGGGACCGGCGGTAATAGGGGTTTTTACAGGTAGAGCCGGAGAACGCACAGGCGACGAGGTCAAGCAGCTGTATGCAAAAGAAAAACTATTAGGAATGCACGGTTGTACTTTGAATGGTTGAGAAATAGTTGCGCTAACCCCTAACACTTGCCCCTAACTATAACCCCTAATCCTAAACCTCAACCGCTAGCCCTAACCCCTAACCATAACCCCGACCCCAACGATATTGCGTCCATCAGGTGGGGCTACCAAACCATATCTCACCAAAATCTAGTCCTCATTCATTGCAACGTGTCGTGAGTTCCAGGTGGGCTTTTCATAAGACAGTAAGAATTATTACAACGCCCCTTTAGCGATATGTCCTGTGCACAGCTCAGAAAGAGCAAACGAAGGCCCTGATTGCGTTCATAACTACTGTCTAAGTAGTATATTTTGCAGACAGAACAGACGGCTAGGTCGTTTTGTTATGAGAGTTCAATGAAATGTCATCGTCTGCTAAACGTCTATGAGAAGTGTGTGGTTTTGAAACTCTAGTTTCAGGAAGTATGATCTGCTTTGTACAAACATAGTACATCAGCCATGAAATCAGGCAGGCAGTAAGTAGTACCTTTTAATGCATGCTGGTTATGTAAGATTAGGAGAAATTGTAATTCCTATTGACCGTGGTAGTAACTTCAGCATACGTAATATTTTCCACTTGTGAATACGTTTTTGCGTACATTATACTATAGACGCTCTACCACTGAATAAGCTTAGTTATAAAGGCAATAGTTGAGGTATACGTATTTGTGGAAGGACATCGTCTACGCTCTATCAACTATCCCCCACTTAAAGCACTTGTGACAGTCATATAGCTAGCAACGGTTTAAGGTCATAGGCAGTTTCAGTTTCATTACAAGCCATTTTGTCCACTTTTTAATCAGGTGAAATACAATCAGTTTTCACTTAGACCCAACTGCGAAACTCGTGGGATTTGGGCACACGACATCAAGGAGAGACTTTAGTACAGCGAACGCTCTAACAATCTGAACTACGAGTCCCCAATGGACGACGCGAGTTTTATCACACTTCTGGAATCTACCAAGTCTGATACAGTAAGCTGACTGCTCAAGCAGGATTTCCTAAGTAATACATCTAGAATCTACCAGATGACTACGAGGCTCACGTAATTCAGAGATTTTTTGGCAGATTTCAAATAATTCCCTTTCACCCAACCTCTATTTATGCATTTTGTAACACCAAATCCTACAGGTCCGCTAATATGACACTTAGAAATTGACAAAACCTCTAGTTTTCTTAAAATAACCCTTGTCTTAGCAGATTGATGACAATGGTTAACATCGGACATAAAATAAATTTGCAAGTTCAGCTAAATCTGTTTATTAAAACTTTTGCGAGTAAATTACTATCCTTTCAATGAAAAAGTCGCTTGAATGCGTAACCGGAGTCTAGGACATTTATTAGCATAGGAAATTGCGCGAATATATTCCAACGTCCATTTTCGGCAACATTTACAGATATTTTACTTGATATAATTACGTAAAAACAATGTCTGCACAAGAAAAGGACATTTTATTGAAGGAAGTGGATGAGCGAACAAAATGCTCAACAGTAAAGGCGTCCAGAAATTTTCAGGCCAGTTTCCGTTATCAGATTTCATGAGATAAGTCACGTAATGTATATGGTTTGCCGCACGCGAAGAATATACGGCTTGTAGTTTGGAAAACCTGAATGCAAGTGTAGCGTCAGTTCGGGTTCAAAATTATTCCATAATTGAAAATTTCTTGAAAAGCGAATTATACAGTTTCTTCGGGTAGTAAATTAGAATTAATTTTCATTTTCTACCAAATAAACAAGGGAATGAATACTTTTATGCCTGTTTACCATGAAATATAATTGAATGTTTAAGGGCATCGGAAATAAATGAGGCAAGTCCATGCTACATAAGTAGTCATTTTTTGCAGAGTATGGTCTTTCCAT